TTCAGGAAAGTGTAAAATAATGATATTAGGCGAAGGGAGCAGAAAGCTGAACACAAGGTATCATCTGGGAGGTGAAATCCTGCAAGAGTCAAATAGAGAGAAAGATCTGGGGGTCGATATCACACCGAACCTGTCCCCAGAGGCCCACATCAAAAGGATATCATTAGCGGCATACGCTAGACTGGCCAATATAAGAACTGCCTTTAGAAACTTGTGTAAGGAATCGTTCAGGACCCTGTATACCACTTATGTAAGACCAATCCTAGAGTATGCAGCTCCAGCCTGGAGTCCATACCTAGTTAAACACAAGACGAAGTTAGAGAAGATTCAGAGGTATGCCACCAGACTGGTCCAGGAACTGAGAAGAATGAGTTACGAGGAAAGGCTAAGGGAGCTGAACATCACAACCCTGGAAAACAGAAGAGTAAGGGGAGACATGATAACCACCTACAAAATTCTCAGGGGAATTGACAGGGTGGACAAAGACAAACTCTTCAGCGCGGGTGGAACACGAACAAGGGGACACAGGTGGAAACTTAGTACCCAGATGAGCCACAGAGACGTTAGAAAGAATTTTTTCAGTGTCAGGGTAGTTAACAAATGGAATGCATTAGGCAGTGATGTGGTGGAGGCTGACTCCATACACAGTTTCAAATATAGATATGATAGAGCCCAATAGGCTCAGGAATCTGTACACCAGTTGATTGACAGTTGAGAGGCGGGACCAAAGAGCCAGAGCTCAACCCCCGCAAACACAACTAGGTGAGTACACACACACACACACACACACACACACACACACTCAGAGGGGACATGGGTGGAAACTGGAAACTCAGATGAGTCACAGAGATGTTAGGAAGTTTTCTTTTAGCGTGAGAGTAGTGGGGAAATGGAATGCACTTAAGGAGCAGGTTGTGGAAGCAAATTACGATTCATAATTTTACAATTAGGTATGATAGGGAAATGAGACAGGAGTCATTGGTGTAAACAACCGATGGCTGGAAAGGTGGGATCCAAGAGTCAATGCTCGATCTTGCAAGCACAAAGAGGTGAGTACACACACACACACAGACACTCACACACACACACACACACACACACACACACACACACACACACACACACACACACACACACACACACACACACACACACACACACACACACACACACACACACACACACACACACACACACTCACACACACCGTGACAAAACCCGGGAAGGATTGACTGGGAACCTATCCATAATTGTTCGCCCCTGTTCACCCAGCAGTAATTGTGGGCCTGGGAGTAAGACTGATTGACGGGTCGTGTTCTAGAGAAAAACTAGTAGAGTAAGGCTTACCATGAGGTATGGGAAGGGGGCGAGCTCTGGCCTGCTAACATGAGTCAGAAGGCGTCGACTCCTGTACCCACCTGTGTAGAAGAGAAAGAAAGAAAGCGGGAAGAAGATATATATAAATATAGAATATAAAGATTATTCTATGCATGCTTGAGCTACCGTACCGTCGTCCCTGACCAGAGAGAGTCGCCACCCGTCACTGCAGCCACAAGTCTGACCTTTTTCTCCAGGCCGTGAAGCTCCACCTGCACCCGTGTAAGGCCGTGTTATTTAATATACATGCAAATGAACCTGCATTCTGCAGCACCTGTCGCAATCACCGCGCGTTTTCTGTCCACCTCACAAGTCCCATTTTCTACGCCTACACCCATTCTCTCTTCCCCCAAAAACGGTCCATAACTCCTCTACAGCAGTTACTGGGAATAACACCAATATGGAGAACCTTAGAGTAGGGTAGTCAGTAAGGTGGCGGCGCCCCACTGAGCGGTGTGGAGCCGGAACTACAGTGTTGGGTATTCAAGCCCTCTCGTCAACACACGCGGGAATACCAACATATTTTGGTTCCGGTTGTGACGACAAGTATTACCGGTTATCTTGAGATGATTTCGGGGCTTTAGTGTCCCCGCGGCCCGGTCCTCGACCAGGCCTCCACCCCCAGGAAGCAGCCCGTGACAGTTGACTAACACCCAGGTACCTATTTTACTGCTAGGTAACAGGGGCATAGGGTGAGAGAAACTCTGCCCATTGTTTCTCACCAGCGCCCGGGATCGAACCCGGGATCACAAGTCCAGCGTGCTGTCCGCTCGGCCGACCGGTATGCATGGTGTATGTCACCTCATACAACAACTGTATGTTGCTGGTGTTGTTTGTGTGTGAGTGAGAGACAGACACTTCCCGTACCGTGAAACAGGTCACACCCTCGTCTCTTTGACTGACAGACTATATATACTGATCCCGTTTACCCCCACCAATGGTGCGTTAATATTAATTGTGTCTATTATATGAGGCTCCTCTCCTTGGAGTTGGTGGAAGGGGAGGGTGGAAGGGGGAATAGAGCGGGGGGAGGGGGGATAGTGCGAGGGGAGGGGGGGACAGTGGGGGCGAGGAAGAGGGGGGTGGGGAGGACGGGGCGAGTGGCCGGGTGTACTCAGTCATGGCTATATAAGGCTCAGTATTTCTTACTCGGTCACAATTGGAAGCTCTCCCACCATGTACTTGTTGTTCTGGGACCTGTGTGGTGGTGGTGGCCCTGACCTGGGACCTGTGTGGTGGTGGTGGTCCTGACCTGTGTGGTGGTGGTGGCCCTGACCTGGGACCTGTGTGGTGGTGGTGGCCCTGACCTGGGACCTGTGTGGTGGTGGTGGCCCTGACCTGTGTGGTGGTGGTGGTGGCCCTGACCTGGGACCTGTGTGGTGGTGGTGGCCCTGACCTGGGACCTGTGTGGTGGTGGTGGCCCTGACCTGTGTGGTGGTGGTGGTGGCCCTGACCTGGGACCTGTGTGGTGGTGGTGGCCCTGACCTGGGACCTGTGTGGTGGTGGCCCTGACCTGGGACCTGTGTGGTGGTGGTGGCCCTGACCTGGGACCTGTGTGGTGTTCAACCCATCCTCCGAATTGACAGTACGTTTTAATACTAAGTACATTTACTTACTGTCATACATAGCCACCACCACTTATGGGACTATTACATTTACCTCCCCATTTTTGGAGGACGGACTTGGTAGTGTTGGTGTCCCTAACCGGAGACTTGAGCTTGTTGGAGGGGATTTATCAAGGGGGGGGGGGGTGATCGCTGGATGAGCAGGGGGGGGGGTGATAACCGCTGGACTGACGGAGGAAGGTCGTGGTGGTGGAGGTTGTTGACTCGTAGTTAGTGAAGGTGTTGTGGCCGGCAGGAAGTTACTGTAGCAGGTGAGCTGAGCGTGGCATTGACCAACGCCGTCCTCCGGCCTCCCCGTACACTTACCTACGGCCAGAAATAGAAAATGGTAGAAGTTCGTGATATTGACGTACTGTCCCGTTTTCTGTTTTGGGTCCTCTGGTAGGTTAGGATAAGGGTATTTTAGTACGACAGTTTTTTGACGTGTGTGGAAACCTTGGGACGAGCTGTTTGGTGACGTGTACAGCGAGACAGCGAGGGTAGTTTTGTCTGGTCTCCTAAGGTGTCCCAACGCCCAGAAACTGTCGTACTAAAGTGCCCTTGTCCTAACTTACCAGAGGACCTAAAACGGAAAACGGGACAGTACGTCAATTTCGCCAGCCGCTGCCATTTTCTAGTACGACGATTGGCCGGGTTGTAGCCAGACCTTTAACTGTGGCTTACACCTCTGTGTACATCACCATCTACCACCACCACCAGCACCACCACCACCACCACCACTGACACCAGCACCACCACCACTGACACCATCACCACCACAACTCCCACAAATACTCCAGACACTATTACCTCTTGTCTGAGGTAACCTGGAGAGGCCAGCAGCCAGGCCTCCGGGAGAGCCTGGAGGCGTGGCTGGTGGCCCCGGGTGCTGCCTCCTGACGGAGCACTGATGTCATCCTCCATAATAGCTCTGTGTATCATGGAAAGAAAGTTGGAGTGCCGAAGATGGCGGGACTCCAGCTACGCCTTGGCCCCAGGCGTCGCTGGAGTCCTGCTGCTCGCCTGCCTCTCTACTCGCAGACATGTACCTGGCATACCTGTGCTTCCTAGGTCAAGCTTTAGCTCTCAAGTCTCGCCTTTCCCGCTATTGGTTAGTTAACTCAATTACCCGCATTCCTCATGTTTGTGTCGTATTGGTTTTTGAAGTTGATTGTTACATTTATCTATAATTACCTGTGGTAATTTGGTTGATACTATATTAGAGGCTCTAGCCGACTCTTCTGTGTCTCCTTGTTCACTTAGTTAATTTCCCTGATTACCTTGTACGTTGTTATCATGTCTCTGGATCTTTGCTCCATAGTGGAGTGCGTTCTCTGAGCCGCTGAGGGTGGTGGAGTGGTGACAGCCGCGGTGCTACTCCTGTACCACACATCTGTACCTCTTCTTGTCTCAGTTTGTGGACCGCTGTATGTGGACCAGAGGCCGGAGCCGCATAATGGAGAGCGGGTCTGGTGTAGGTGGTATAGTGTTGTGAAGGTCCCTTGCCTCTAAGTTGACCCAAACATTTACAATGACTTCTGACCCCCTGTAGCCTTGTAATATATGTTATTTAAACTGTGTATGGAGGTAGACTCTGTTATGTCCCCTTCTGAGTCATGCACCATACTCACTGCATGTACACAAAGCTAAATTTGTTCTTATTCCCCTGTGGCTCAACTGCCTTGTTACCCTCCATGTGTGTGTGTTCTCTCGCTGTTATGCTGCTAAAAATATACATTTGATCTCCGTCTTCAATACCGACATCCCTGTGTATTTTATATGTCTGGATCATGTCTCATCTCGTTTTTACTTTCTTTAAATTACATTATATTCAGTTCCTTGAATCTATCCATGAAGTGCTGCTTTCTCAAATGTTAGACTAATCTTGATTATTCTCGCTGGCTAAATAACAAAAACCTAACACATACTGTAGGCCAGATCAAGACAACTGCTAAATGGTTACTTGTGATACATAAAGGTTTACAAAGACTACATCATAACACCATTAAAACACTTCAG